TTAGCGGTCGAGGTGTACTCTGTGTATTAAGTCATAGTGGTTTGTGAATTTATTACTATAAGAATCTCAGTTTATGAATTTTATCTGAGTGAGCAAACTATAAATATTTTGATCCAAACCCATATTTCTCTTGAGTCTTGAAAAATGCAGGTAACTCTTGTATTTATATTTCTGGCCGTCGTTTACACGAATGCGAATACTATTTCACCTGAAGAAAGTCTTATGCTCGCACGTCAAGAGTTTTTGTCTCTTTTGCAGTTATTGCAACCATATTCTCAAGTAAATGTTCTTCCAGTAGCTTATCTAGATGCAGCCTCAAACCTTGACACATCGTCGACTCCAGGACAGGCGTTATCGATTTCTGCATCCAGCGTTGGAACAACCACCATTCCGAACGGAACCCCTGATACAATCTCTTCACCATCTGAAAGTTCAGAAACAGATCCTTCGTCAGCATTTTCAAGCGAGAATCGTGGATTATCCGCTAGAGCTTTAATAACTAGTCCTTATCTTGAATGTCCTGTAGGCCAAAGAAGAGATCTATGGGGGAACTGTAGAAACGTATTTTAACGTGACTAGCCATTTTCCAGTGAGTGTATTTAAATACATAATGCACAGAAGAAAGATACTAGTAAAATGTTAGTTGAAGAGTGTGTGGTTTTATTCAGTGCAGCCTTGTATATTCTTTTATTACTAGTTCATATATTGCTCGAAATCTGGTATAACTAAATCTAGTAAGGCGCAAAGAACACCTGGGGTTCAAAAGTCCAAAAAACCCTTTTCTTATGTCTTGAAATAGGCAAAATAATTTTGTAGCATATAACTCGCATGCCACATGATTTCAGGTGAAATCATACATGAAAACCATACTTAATACTTTTCATTGAAATGGCGACCATACAAAGTAGGTATTTTTTAAGCCAAGTATGAATGGAGATGAGTGTAGGATGAGTCCCGTAGTCTTTTTAGTGACTATATAAGGCTGACGTATTCATTAGACACAACTGTTAATTAATAGCCCATACTGCTAGCTAATTGCAACTAAGGGACCTACAGCCTACAGTTTATAGTGGATTCCGAACCACATTGCCTTGGTATTAACGAATTGGTGTAATTATCAGGATAGTTCTGCGGATAGTCATAGTACTCACTAGTGTGGACGTTAATCCACACCAGGGAGTATCGCATCCACAGTGCATGCCTATAAATATCCACAATTCGTGACCTCCTATAGCTGGATTACAGGACGACGCCACCGTCCCAGTCATATATACATATCAAAACATGCTTCAGATCTAACAAGAGGATAGATTCATTGTAGATATGATATATTGTTACAACAGTGTTATAATAGCCAAGTAGCCAACAGTAGTGGTTCTAGGGCCTTGTCTAGGGGGGGGGGCTAACAGAGGTTTGGTGGTGGTGTGAAACAAGCAGGGGTCTGGGGGTTCTCCCCCCTGTAATATTTGGTATTGTTAAGCCACTAGGTATACAATGCAGTTGTCTGCTTGCAATATTGAGCACAACTAGCATATTAATCTAATACTTTTTTAAAGTCAATGCTACATCTACTTCTCGTTAATGAGATATATAAGCCTTGCAGTATCCATTTCCAATGGTATATTTGGTTCACATAAATGGAATGTATATTTGCAGTATTCAACGTTGAGTCTGGTTTAAGTAAATGAATTGTCTACTTGCAGGAACCAAGTCTGTTTCACCTGGTTCTCATAAATTAAATGTCTTTATCCAAAGTCGGTGATATTTGGTTCGCATACATAAAATACCTATTTGCAGTATCCAAAAGGCTTACTTCGGGATGCCTTAAAAGTCTTTTTGCAGTATTAAAAGTCAACGATACGTCGGGTTTACGCACGGCCACCTCCCCAGGCCGTGGCCGTCGAAGTGGCAACGTCGCAAGTGGTGTTGTAACAGCTGTTTTTGTTTGGAAGCAGCTAATGGTATTTGGGTATTTACAAAAGATTGATTACTGGACTATGATAATATTGACTCCGCTTAAAATTTGCAGATATCGATTTTTAATTCATACTAGTGGCTTGTAGGGACAGTCCCTAAAAAGCTCAAATGTAAAACAACTTTTTGCAATACCGGTATTTAAACAAACTCAGAATAACATTATCTATGTGTGAGAATAGGCATCCCTACACCATATCTTTTGTGTAAAAACCAGTTTGTTGTTCTTCTTTGTTTGCTTTTGTTGATGTCATTTTCAATAAATAATTTGAATCACTCCAGTGGTTTAACATGAAAAGGCAGAAAACATATCATTGTTTGTGAATAAATACTGGTTTACTAAGGTAGCTTTGGTCTTGTGGTTAATGAGGATAAATAAAAGCTTCCCTGTTTGGAATTTTAAAAATTCATTGGAGGTTCGCCTTCAGATGAATTGAAGACGCCTGCAATTTCATCTGCAGTAGGCTTATTATACCTACGACGATCCATATTTATCCTGTCTACAAATCTAAGTTCTAATTCACTGTCACCTTGTACAACCATTTCTTCCGAAGCTCTTTTGTAAATTTGTGCAAATGGATTTTCTAATAGAATTTCAGCCAGTTTTGACAATATTTCAGGTTTTAAGTCACTATTTTCTCGACGCATTTGACGAATTTCTGTTGCTGTTTGATGTGTCAATAATGTACAATTGGCCATACACGGGGTCTTCATCATGTTGAGGCAGCAAATCTGAGATTGAACGATAAATCTGTCCTTGAATTTTGAAACAGTATGGTCCTTTTCCTGGAATATCTTTCTTACTGGCTGAAAAATAAGCAAAAGCCATCGCACTGTTGCATTGTCGAATGAATTTATACAGTTGTGGGCTCTCTTCAAACAAACTTTTAAGTTCTACATTAGTTTTTGACTGAGGAAGGTTAATAAGTCCGTTATGGCAACATGTCATAAAATGATTATTCGTTAGTTCTTCTCTAAAATGAAGAGCACTACATTGAATGCACTCTTGGTCCAGTAATCCTGCATCATGAATATTTTCATTTCTCTCGTCTACCATGGGTCTCCTAAAAAGGGGTTATAACATATCTTGATTAAGTTCGTCATTATCTACTCTTGCTCTCCTACGCGCACTGTCATTCCTATGAACAGTTCCCCGCCTTTGTGGTATTCCCCTGGCGTTCATATTAATTACAGTACTTATAATGAAAAGAATATATATCCAGCAGCCTACATACCAAAACATCTTGAATCCCTGGTGATTTTATAAAAGTATGATCGAATATGATTACTCTAAGTTGTATATTCACTGCACTAAAAAAATTTACTTACGAAGGAATGCAAATACACCATTTTAGAACCAATAACATTTATAGGTTATTTTAGTTGTATATATTTACACAACCTTAACCTTAAAATGTGTAGAAATATAAAGAAAACAACATCATTTAAAATAAACTTGAACATTTGATTTAAAAATAAAAACAAAACAGAAGTTAGATTGAATTTCGACTCTTTGATTATTTATACAGAATATTTATTCTATGTCGTTTATTCCTTTAACACGACAATAACGTAAAAGCATGAAAAAATGAAAAAGCATATAGCTCTGTCATCTAATAAAGCAAAGTGGTACAAGACCATAAACAACAACATTTCAAAATTTCCATGGTTCAAAGATTCTAATATGAACAGAAATGAAATAGTTAACATTTGCAGGATAAGGCTAGGACATGCTAATATAAACTCATGCCTCTATAAAATGAAATGTTACTTTTCCCCACTATGCCTGAATTGCACCTTAGGAGTGGAGGAGACCTTAAACCACATATTCATGCAATGTCCAAAATACAGCTTAGATAGAGACCAGCATCTTAAAAAGACCAAAAGAACCAGTAAAAACTTTACGATGGAAATAAATAAAGTTGTCAGCACAAATGATCACGACATTTATCTCGAACTAAACAAATTCCTTCATTCTATCGGTCGAAAGATCTAGAAACAAACACATAACTTTCACTCAAATTTCACATGAATGTTTGTCCAATCCTGGGTTTCTTCATCCAAGGCCCACCTTTTTCGGGTTAGGACATTGCCTGATCGGCCCAGGCAGGGAAGACTAAACCTTTTCCCTCCCTCCCAGATACCCATCTACATCAATTTTCCTTAGAGAGATCCTTTCTTTATTATTAACAAAAATATCAGAACAAATCATAGCTCATTGTCAACATTTATGTATGTAAATAACAAAATTAAAGTGTCAACACCATTCTCCTGATTAATATAAAATAAACCAAAAAAAAGACGGATAACCACAATAAGTGAACATTGGGGCCTCATGAATTTTAATCAAGGCCGTCACATTTGTGACATTTAGAAAAAAAAAAAAAAAAAGAAAAAAAAGACCCCTCCCATCCTTCTACGGCCATCCAGTCACTCACAATTTCTTTACAAAAATTTGACTTACGGAATTATATATATAGATTGTTTCGTTTTCCAATTTTGTATGTTTTATTTTCGATATTTTAATAAATTTATGTGGTTCACGTAAACGAATTTTTTACCTGCAGTATCCAAATTAATGGCACATTTGGCTAACGTAAATTAAACTGTTTACTCGAAGTATCCAAACTCAATGGTACATTTGGTTCACGTAAATGAATTGTCCACTTGCAGGATCCAAAGCAATGGTTCATTTGACCAAAGAATTTGAACCAAAGAATTGGTTCATTATCTATTCTCATGTACTATGTGTGCTTATTGTGAATAAAGATGATTTGACTTTGATTCACATAAGTGCCAAATTTGCAGTATGCAATATCCAAAAAGTCGATGGTACGTCTCACAGAGTCGACATCCCATAGCGTCGTCAATGCTTTTATGTTTGTGTTTTCCGCGGTCTGCGCTTACAGAAAAATACGTCCAGCTGATATTGATGTTTAGCGGAGCCACAGCTCAAACAGAATGTCAAAATCAGAATAGAGAACAGTAAACTACTGTAAACATACCAAAAACCAAACAGAAAGAAAGTGGATGAAATTGAGTGGTGTGAGATCGGGATGGGTAATAGCTTTGAGAGAGTTTAGTCTATTGTTTATGTTTTGAGCATTATGTAAACACAATTTTTTAGACATGTGGAGTGGTTTAGCCCTGTTTTGTTTACAAATCATAATAAATAGTAAGTAATTGTAATACATTAAAAATCCAAAACCATGGCAGAACCAGGAGAAAAGAAAGAAGAGGAATCAAAGAAAATAGTGCATACATATCCCCTTGTCAGAGTAAGTTCCTAAGTTGTTTTCTGGTCATAGGCCTAGATTTTAGTTAGGTGGTATAGGCTATACAGAAAATTTAAACTCAATGTTGATATTTGCAAATTAGGCCTAACTTAATTGGCTGTAAGTAAGCCTGTCAAGCTTATAAAAGTTAGGCTGATGTCAAGCAACAAAGAATTTTGGGTGCAGTTAATTAAGTTACACACCCTAATATTTGGCTAAAAGCTAGGCCATAACTCTCTCAAGGAGTTCTTTGAGGACGACCTCACAGGACTTTAAATCAACCACCATTAAAATTTTTAAATGTAACTTCTTTTTGGTATCCAACCTACCAATGACCATACGAAAATCCGACTAGGCTAAATGTAAGTCTGTATACTGTTTATATTAGTTTTATTTTTTTATTGTATTGACGCAGCCTATCCAAGCTTAGGCCTATGCCTGGTATCAAGCCAAGGAGAAGGTACCTTAATGAGGTAATTTATTAACAATCAATATTTATTGGTGTGAACCTGGCAATAACTAGTGCACGCGCCACCAAAAATCTATTGCTGGCCGTTTTGTGGCAAAATACGTCCGCGATCCATATCACCGGCAATAGATTTTAGCAAGCGCGCGCACAACTTATTGCTGATTTTACTCTCCAGGTACATAATGTTGATACTGTCGTGTCCGTTAAAGTGTCCTCTATCTGTTGGCATCATCAGAACACACTATTGTGTTCTTTCCAATTGGTTGATTTGGATCGCGGACGTATTTTGTCGCAAAACGGCCAGCGGCTGCACTTTAATTTACATCCTACACTCGTTTGAATGAATATATCGATCGATATATCGATTATTTAGTTCGATATATGAAGTTTGGTTAGTTAGCCCAACCTAACTAACCGAATGATAGTTGATATATCGATATTTTTCATTCGAATGAGTGTAGGACGTAAACTAAAGTGCAGCCCGGCCAGCAATAGAGTTTTTGTGGCACGCGCACTACTTATTGCTGATTTTACCCCCCTTAACCTTCTCCCCAGGTACATTATGTTGATACTGTCGTGTCCGTTAAAGTGTCCTCTATCTGTTGGTAATATGGATTGCGGACGTAATTTGCCGAAAAAACGGCCGGCAATAGATTTTAGCGGGCGCGCGCACAACTTATTGCTGATTTTACCCCCCTTAACCTACTCCCCAGGTACATAATGTTGATACTGTCGTGCCCGATAAAGTGTCCTCTATCTGTTGGCATTATTGGTAATATGGATCGCGGACGTATTTTGCCGCAAAACAGTCGGTAATAGATTTTAGCGGGCGTGCGCACAACTTATTGCTGATTTTACCCCCCTTAACCTACTCCCCAGGCACATAATGTTGATACTGTCGTGTTCGTTAAAGTGTCCTCTATCTGTTAGCATCATTGGTAATATGGATCTCGGACGTATTTTGCCGCAAAACGGCCGGCAATAGATTTTAGCGGACGCGCGCACAACTTATTGCTGATTTTACTCCCCAGGTACATAATGTTGATACTGTCGTGTCCGTTTAAGTGTCCTCTATCTGTTGGCATTATTGGTAATACGGATCGCGGACGTATTTTGCCGCAAAACGGCCAGCAATAGATTTTTTGTGGCGCGCACACTACTTATTGCTGATTTTACCCCCCTTAACCTATTCCCCAGGTACATGATGTTGATACTGTCGTGTCCGTTAAAGTGTCCTCTATCTGTTGTCATCATCGGTAATATGGATCGCGGACGTATTTTGTTCCAAAACGGCCAGCAATAGATTTGTTTATGGCGTGTGCACTACTTATTGCCGAGTTATTGCCAGGTTCACATTAGTTCAATATTTTATTTTGATTAAAATTAAACCTGTCATTTTATTTTAGGTTCTAAACTAACCAAACTTCCTAACAGGCCTAGCCTAGTTCCCAAATCTGTATGATGAAATCCATTGTTAATCGATATTAGGAGTACACTTCCATATCTGTTAGCACAAACAACCGAATGAGTAATATTGATTAGGCCTATTCGATTGCTTAATTCGATATAGGTACCGGTATCGATCGATATTTTCATTCGGTTGTTTGTGCCAACTGATATGGAAGTGACACCCGATATTAGGGTAACATAGCCTAGTTAAGAAACTGCCCCGAGAATTTGGTAAAAACCGTATTGTATAAGTTGTTGTACCGTATAAGTCCTAGCTGGAGCTTTTGGTCAAGCTTAAGGTGTGCACACACCGGAGCGGTACCTACTGCAGTGTAGTAGCGGTGCGATAAACGTGCAGTGATTTAGTGCAATGGAAGTAAATGCAAGCGGCCACACCGGAGCGGTAGCGGTATACCACCTGAACCACCGCACCACCGAGATGCAGCATGTTCCATTTCACCGCCCAGGGGTGGCGGTGCAACGAGTCATTTAATGGTTATGCTAGGTTAGGTTGGTATTGGTTGAATCTTTATACCTATTTATCACCATCAATGAATCTCACACTTTGCAAAATGCAAGTTATACTCCAATTTGTACAGTTTTATCACTTTTTTGCAGAACTGTGATATGGGAGATGAGATGAGAACTGAAGCCATGGAGTTGTGTGTTACCGCTTGTGAAAAACATGCAGCAAACAACGAGGCAAGTTAAAAAAATAAGCTATTATGTTATGAAATTAGTCCATTAACACTAGTAAATACTCTGAGTAGGCCTATCAGGTTTTACTAAATTTGATATGATATCAACTTAACTTGATATGTTAACTTCACTGAAATAAACTCACTATTTCCAACTTCTTCTAATCTTGTTTAGTCTTATGCAGCCACTAAATGTTATGTGGGTTTAAATGAGCTGTTTTTAAGTCTCTAAAGCCGTGTTTACACGAGGACAAGTAGGTTTCTTGCCTCCGGTAACTTGAAATACACTAGAGGTAGGTCACCTGCCTGCTTACGGGGTTTATTTGAACTCAGATTAAAATTGCCCTTCTTCTGCTATATGTTTTTAAATGAATCAAAATACTTAATACAATAAGGGGTTTCCCTGTAGCAACTGTTATTGCCAGTTCTATTACCTGTTTTTTTTTTTTTTTTTTGTTTTTTTACGATTGAGGTGTTATTATAACACTTATGATCTAGTGCAGTGATAATGATGATTAAAAAAGAAAATTCCCTCTTTGGCTTTGCCTGCCAAGCCTTTGATTTATTTATAAAGGGGACTTTTAAAGTTCCAGTGCTACTGACCATCTTGTAAATCTGGAAATTTAATACTGTAGCTGATTATTACATTTACTTGAATTTTTAACTACAATCAAGATTGTAAACTTGACAACACAGTTATTGAAAATATATTTTTTTACCTTTAGTTTAATAATTTCAACTACAATCCACACAACAGACAAAACCATTTGAGAATGGGGTTTTAATAGGTAACTTAGGCCTACTTTTATTGATATCAGTCTGTAAGATGTGTCTAAATCACTCTTTAAGGGATAGATCTACAATCTAGGCTAAATGTAAATATTGTAATTTAAAAACTGAGTAAATAACTTTAACACGTTCGCTACTGAGCGTCGCATATATGCGACGCCGCGGTCATTGCCACAGACCGAGGTATACATTTGAATCTTACACATAGACCGGCTGTCACTTGGATAACAGTACACACAGACCACGGGCGAAAACCTGTAAAACAGTGATCATTTATATTGTAATACGCTACAATCGTGTTTGTAAATAAATTATTCTTGTTTTTTTGTATTTTTTATAACCTTAAGTAATGTCGCATATTTGCGACGCCCGGTCTACAGCGAAGACAATAGTGAAAATTATCATAGTTTTCTTGAAATAGACTAAACGTCGCATATATGCGACAGTTCATTTTTTTGTGTTTAAGGTAAAAGTAAGTAAACAAATAAACAGATTATTCAAGAACAGTTTATAACTGAACAAATATAAAAGCTACATAGGATAATGCAGCATACATACTGCATACATACATACAGTGATACAGAAAAGTAAAGACCAGTTTTTCCAACTATCATATGACGTCACCAATCATCATATCCACAGACCAAGCGACGCAGTTGTGCGTCAGACATCTCTGTAGACCACTGTAGGGAATTCAGTGCCTTCAAATAGACCACTACAAAGATATAAGCATTTTAATAACATTAGAACCCCGACGCAAATATGCGTCGGCAGTCTATTTTAATGTGACTAGCCGTCGCATATATGCGACGGCAGTCTATGGGTGGAAACCGGCCGTCGCATATGTGCGTCGCTGGTCCATGTGAATGGAAAATTTCGTACTATTGCAGTAGCGAACGTGTTAATCAAAGAATCAGCTGGTTAACTAAATAAAATTAGCTCAAGTGCTTTTGAATAATTACTGTATAACTTTTTGTACTTGCAAAATACGATAATTCAATTTCTTTTGCAGGCCGCCGCTCGGATGATAAAAGAAATGATGGACAAGAAGTTTGGACCGTCCTGGCATGCCGTTGTCGGAGAGGGGTACGGGTTTGAGATTTCTTACGAGTGTAAAAGCCTTCTGTACATGTTTTTCGGCGGAAATGTTGCCATTTGTATATGGAAATGCTCATAACAAATGTTTCTATTAACCAAATCTCACCAATTCAGTATTAATATTGTTATTTTTTTATTAATAATTGTTTTACAATTTTGAATTAACACTGCATAAAGCTATTTATTGTGTTTTATCGGCCTAATATAGATTTACTTGACAAGTACAATTTTTCTATTTCGTCTAAGCTAATAAGCTAATCATGTAGTATTGAATACTCTCTTGAAGCTTTAGTCTTAATTGTTGATTGTTTTTACTGTCTTTAACATTAGTCAAAATATACTAAGACTGGCCACTGAATATGATAAGTTATCAAAGACCCTTAGTATGTTTTATGGGTTTGCCCACCAATAGATTCAAATTGCAGCTAAACCTTTCCTTAAAGCCGATTTTATACAAGACTAGTAGGCAGTTTACCTGCCTCTAATGTATTTCAAGTTACCTGAGACAAGTTCTGCCAACTGGCTTTGTGTAAACTTGGCTTTATACTAGATTTTACAGCTCTTGCTTAAGACAGCATTTTGCCCAAACGCATATTTCACATGTAGCTAGGACCACCTTTATTCAGAATATCAGTTAGCATAATCTGCATCATTAACGGTATTTCCACCAACTTTAAACTCATTTAAGATGACAACAGTTCAAATCCATTACATCCTGTTTGGTCTTTGCTTTATCCTAACATGTTGTTGGGTAGTTTGTGCAGTTGCCATATTGATTTTACGTCGTCGGCAAACGACCAGAAAGCACACCGACCCATTCCATAAATTTATGGAGTTTTCTTGTACCTATGTGTTTTGCTTCTGTGTCATTAACATTTCACTGGTATTTCAGTTTAACAAATTTTACCTTGACTTCACAGACTGCAATGATAGAAAAGAAAATGCTGTTTTCAGTTTAGGATTAAAATTTATATTATTTTCAATGTCAAAGAATACACAGTTAATTTTCTTCTTACTCAAAAGAGTGTTATATTGAGAAACTATAGATGGAAATTGGAATGGACTTGTAGTATGACCTTTTTTCTTAGCGCATTTAAACATTTGTTCTCCTATTTGTGTTTCCCAATTCTCTAGTCTTATGAGACTACTCACTAAAGCCTTATAATTAAGGCTGATATATTTTTATACATTTAGTTTGAATTTAAAAAAGTAATTTCATAGGCTTTCTAGCTTTGATATGATGCAATTGAAAACTATAAGGTATATTAATTGTTGTTTGATTTGAAATTACTGTTAAAAGCTTATTTCTTTAGGTAGTATTTTGAACTTGTTAACAAGTAGGAAAGCCTAATGAAGAGCCTAAATGCAATACTTGACACATTTTGCTAAGGTACTTCATAAATTAAAGTTTTGAAGGTCTATAATAATCTTTGTCCTTTATTTTAAAGGCAAAAATTAATGCCAATGTTTAATTCATCACATGTTTAATAAGTTTGCTTTGATATCCAAAACCCAATGGTTATATTTAGCTTGAATCAAATAATAGTTTTATTTTTGTTTTATTTATATATATTTTATTATATTATTATTATTTTATATTGTTACCACAATATTCCTTACGTAGTAGTACTCAGATTTTAATTGTTGTAACACTTACGTTACATTTTTGCCTAAATGTTTAGTTAAGTTATGTTCTTATTTGGTTGAAAACAAATTAAAACAAATTAGTGCCCAAAGCTCAACATAATATCTTGCCATGGAATTGCCATAATTTTTAAGGCGTATCATTCACGTAACTTTGACTTGCTGGTTATAGGAAAAAATGTGTAGGTTGTTATTGAGCCTAAACTGTTTATTTTATTTGAAACTTTTATAAGTTATGTAAAATGGAACTATGGCACTAAAAAGATCGATACCATTTCTGGCCATGAAATATTTCACTGTCATTTAAATCGAAAGGATGTTAAAGAAAAATGTTTAATGCTGCAATAATTGCAAATAAGACCAAATTACAGAGAAGTATTCAAAAATTGAAATCAATTTTTTTCATATTTATTTAGTATTTAGTTTCTTAAATTAAGTTAAAGCTCTTGGGAAATCTTGTCACTTGATAATACAGTAATTGAGATCACGATGTTGATTTATATTTTGAACATTCTTTTTTTGCTAGTTACCATGAAGCAAAAAAGCCTGAAAAACCCCATGAAAAAATTTACTACCATAAAAAATAGTAGTGATTTTTGTTAATAACACTGAACACACTAAAAGTAATTTAATTTATCCAAACCCTTAAAAACTTTGTGCATATGCAAGGGAAATAACGTAGGGTTGTTGATTGTGCATTCTTTTCTGGTAGGCCTTTAGTTACGGTAGTTTACAAGCATTTCCCAAACAATTTTCATATTCTTTGAATGCATAGCCCTGCAATGCATGTGCTGGAACAGCAGTTTTACTTTGCACTATGGCAGAAAAAACATTGAATCTCATTTCAATTATTGAATTGTGTGTATTTATTTAAAAGCTCATTGGAAGCTTTAATTACAAATATATATATTTGTTACTTGTGCATTTTAATAATTTAACATCCTCGCTTAGGTTATTTTAATATTGTATTTGAAATATACAAACTTGAACACAGTGTTAACTCAACAATGATTTGATGGCCAGTGAGTGCTTCATATGTAATTTTCAATTGACTGATTTTTCATTTGCTAGACAAGACTGAATAGCGCCATAATAGTTAAATTTTAAGCATTTCCAAAGCATAAGAAAACGTATTAGACAGTTTTTGCAATTTTTTTTTGTTTACAATATTATGAAAATATTTAGATAAATTCAAGGTTAAATGGAGAATAAAAGCTCAACAAAATGCTATTTAGCCTAAACCAAACCTACTGTTAATAGTTTGTTTTACGAATATAATTAATTAGTCTAGTTCAAGCGATCCAAGTTATTGCACACTGCCATTTTATTTCTTTTTGTATGGCCATGTGGTAGTGTAACTTTTGTACAAATGGAAAATGTATTTTATCAATAATATTTTAAGACAAGTAAGATATTATCTAAGGTCAATGCTAACAGTATTATATTAGGTAGTCAATCAATCGCTATATTTCAGCATTTAATGCAATTTAGTTTCATTCTTGTTTGTTGTGTATTTTAGAGTTTTAACTATGTATTTTTTAAGTGTTGTGTGATATTTTCTATGTGCAGTATTATTAATATAAGTGTACGTACAAATATTTGAAGTTGTGTTTATGAGTTTAAGGGAGTGTATTTATGTATACGGGTGCGTTTAAAGAGTTTCTTAGTACTTTGCTTATAGTGGTGTAGTTGTAAATTTTCGAGTGCGGTAAAGCTCGGTTTTTAAGGAGGGGATTTTTTTAAACTCCCGTTTACACGACCCAATTTAGGAATCCTAAATCAGGCCAGATCGACATTGGCCCTGGAAATCCAATCGTGCAAACGCGTGCTCCTGGTCATGATTTGACAGGCGACCTGGTAGGGAGGTTGGGAATGATTTCCATCGGATTTAGGAGGAAGGGTGGGGATAGTTCACTTCCTCTGGGAACCAATTTGATTTCTGAAGCTCTACACCAGTCAAATCACTCAATCCAATCTTAATATGAGGGTCTGAGTTGCCTTAAAGTGTAATTTTCGTGTTTTTGAGATGACACAATCTACTCCACAGAAGTAAAGCCCGTTTTGACAGAAATGATAGAAGTGTACAAATCTTACAAACTGTTGTGGGACACTTCTCAAGCTTTATATTTAAGCCTACACTTGAAAAAACTTCCAAAAAACTACTTTTTACATTCTAATAATGACGTTCTCCAACAAAGAAAAGCAACTCAGATCGAGCGCAGAGAACAAGTCATGTAAATACAACGCTCTGTTGACCAGGTGGGAGATCACTGACAGGGCGGTCGGGACAAGGAACAGGAACGGGTCGTGTAAACGGGGCTAAAAGCAGAGTGGGAATGCCGTTCCCACACTGCTGTTTGTTGGTTGCATCCCGTAGACAATTTGGTTATGATTACATTTTTTTATAGTAGAAATTACAGCTGTAGTATTTTGTTAAAAATTATTGTAGACCTCTGATGTAAAAATTATTTTTAATTAGCATTTATCGCTGTACTATAAGCAATGTTGTACTCTTGCTCAATGCTCATGCACCAGCAAACATTCATTTATTTACCTAAAAAAATATTGCTGTATTAAAATCACTTGTTTTGTGTGTACAGTAAGCCTACACTGTAATGAGTTCAGATTACAATATTTAGATTTTGCGCATCTTGGACCAAAGTTTTGCCTTCTCAAGAACTACAATGGATGTTTATATTGAATCAAACCTGTTGTAAAATTGATATTGTATAATTATGATTCAACTGTCAATCATCTTGTAAAAAACTCAAAACCAAACTAAGGATTTATTTTTAGATAATCACAACTAACTATACGGAAGACCTCCACTCATTCAGATACGTTTGGATCGAACTTTAATATTTTCAGAAGTCACAGGCTATGCATGACTCGTACACTTGCGAATACATTAAGCTTTATCCATTTACACAGCAAACAAAAGCACTTAAACAAACAAGTCATTACCTGTTTGGTACATACGGATGCCATCGCTGTATTCCTTCATTTACTAGTACAGCACTGTAGTCGACTTGTTTTGAACCTATAATATGAGGCTTTGAAGCATATCCATTTATTTGTGTTAACTTCTGAAAGTACAGAGGTTCTAGTATAGAGAAGGGTCTGATTGAGTTGGAGTTTACTCTAGTTTAAAATTTCTAAGTAATATTTAAGAAATCAAGGCTGTAGCCTATAAATAACAATGTCATAACAGTATAATGCATTTGGTTATTGTATGATTCATTCACTAAAAGATGCACCCCTTGCATGCAGTTTTAAGCTCACTTTTTAACTGTAAAACTTTAGAATTTAAGCTTGGATCTCTCAAGAATGTAATAATGCCTGAACTTAATTTAAAGATAACTAACCTGAAAACAGTATTATTTTAACATTGTAACGAAGTATATAAATAAAAGTATGGAATTAGAAAGCGCAAACTGGAGTTAATGGTTGATTCCCTCTTCCATTTCACTATTGTGTCTCTTGCTAAACCCTCAATGTAGTACATAAAACTACAAATGCCCTACAAACTACAAGTTTTATAAAATTTTTCTCAGCCACATTACTTTTGC